AGCATAATCTGGATTTTTACGTGCTCCATGGAAGAACATGATTAGGTACTTATAGGCTTCATTCTATTATTATTATATAAGTCTTTGAATTTGTCATGTTGTGTTATTGTTTTTTTATGATGATTTTCGGAAATTAAACAAACAAACGTGCGACAACGCTTCTGCCATACATTTTGGTTGATTGCCACCCCCCCCCCCATAACACTGAATCTATTTTTCTCCGGAAACATGTATATAATTCTTCTCGCAGTGACGTATTATGGGTCCAGCCATCGGGACACTCTGAAACAGGGGGGGGGGGGTGCTGAATTTATAAAATGTGGATTAAGAGCCCCCGGTATTAGGAGAGGATCATGGAAGGGCTCCTAATTCATTGCGATCCGATTCCGATTTTCTCACCCCTGTAGCTATTCGGCCCATTGGCTCTTTGGAAATGACATTACCCCACATCAGCTTGACAGAGAATTTGAAGATATACCGTTCGTTCGCTGTTTCGCAAACTTACGAGTGATCTTAAATTTAGACGTAACCTGAAATCCTTGACATGAATTCCGTTTTTTTTTTTTTTACTTGAATATTTTATATATATTTTATAACTGAAAATAATTAGTGTTTCAACTGCAAATATCAATAAAGGTACTCATTGGTTGATGGAGATCACCGGACTCGTTCTCACCGATGGATATCCGGAGAATATCAACCGGAGTACCTGGGGTTGCATCGAGATGATCAACATCGCTGCTATCCAGTTGCCCAAGACAAGAGACGAAGAGTTGGCCAACCCAGTGAAAATGACGCCAATGTTAGACGAGATTGTGAAAGCGCCCTCTCCAAGGCTGATGAGTAGCCACTTGCAGCTAAAGAATTTGCCGCCGAATTTGCACAAACGAGCCAAGGTATTTTGCTTGTTTCGTATCAATGGTATATGTATTAATGACTGATTTTAGAGAAATAGTTGTTTTTTATACGCTGTGCAATCTCTATGACTATGGGAAGGATTTTAGCACACGATAGGTTTATGGAGAATTCCACGTAGATCTACCCTTTTGGTGTTCTTGCTGTCAGCAGAATTAATAAAGTCTTGCATTTGATCATCATAAAGAAGTTGTAATCTTGGGAGAGTTTCTTCAGCCATTTTTGCCTTGTTTGGAATTCAGTACGATTGTCGTACGGTCGTCTGCGCTTCGCTATATTAAAAATTGGTAAATTAAGCTAGCGTCCAATTCTTCGCACACACGTACACGTATATAATGGTATCCGCGATCGCTCAAACCAGTTTTTAACACTGAACCAATGGGTATTGCAGCAAGACTAAACTATTTTCACGATAACTGGAAAACCATGACTGCAATTTCGACCAATCAGATGGCTGGATTTCTTAAGTGAGGTATATAATGTATTCTATTCAAAAGCAAAATGTGTGTGCCAACATAATAGTTGAATTCAAACCATCGTTCTATACCAAATTTGTTAGGGTCTGTATTGTTCCTAACGGGAGAAAGTATTTCTAAAATGCCTTTCCAATTTTAGCCTTTCCTATTCACGCCAGTTGTTCGTATATCATTATCAACCTTATTTTACCTTATTTCCCCCTGAACAAAAATTCATCCAAGCGTATTTTTTAATATGCTTTTTCCGTTTGTACTCTACGCAGATTATATACGTGGCTCGCAACCCCAAAGATACGATCAACTCTTATTATAATTTCATGGAGGGCACGCGAGCTTTTCATGGCAAGCCGATCGGCGAAGTTTTAAAAGACTTCATGGTAGAAGGTGGGTGATGATTGTTATAATGATAAGGATGATGATGATGATAATGATGATGATGAGGCTGATGATGATGCTGCTGCTGATGGTGGTGGTGGTGATGATGATGACGGTAGTGTTTATTGATAGGCCTATGATAATCCATAAGAATAAAAATCTTAACTATAGATCTACTGCTGTCCTTAAGTGTATGTAGATATTTTTGTGAGCCCCCCCCCCCCCCAGTTGACGTCTCTTGCCAGAATATGAGAATTTTGGGGCAACTTTCTCCTAGCCCGTTGTTGTCGGTATATCGTAGAGGTGTTGTGGACGAGTGGATAAGTCGCCGGACTGTGGATCCCAAGGTCCGTGGTTCAAGTCCCGCCACAGCACTAATGTCCTTTGGCAAGACATTGATCTACATTTGCCACTCTCCACCCAGGTGTTAAATGGGTACCCGGTAGTATGCGAAAGCTAATGTGGTTAGATTAGCAAGTGTGCGCATGTAAAAATGACGCCTGGCTGGAATGATCCCCAGGGAGTGGAGAATGTGCATACATTGTGTGCGGGGTAAGCCTGAATCCAATGACCGGGGTAATAATATCTGTAAAGCGCTTTGTGAGGGCCTCCGGTCCTGAAAAGCGCTAAATAAGAACGAGCTATATCACATCGTTAAGTACTTTGAAACTTGATCATCTGTAACACGAAAACAGACTGAAGTTTGCACATTATACAGTTGAAGTTATCCCAATAAACAAAATCAGGTGAAAATCACGTCAATATCAAGGTATCGACTTGAGGAGAGTTACGTTCTTTAAACACCGGACATTTACGTAAATGTGTTAATACGTTTATTGCATTAGGTAACTTAAAACACACGTACACTAAATCACGCAATTGTCACTGCAATATCACCATTATAATAACGTGATTATCCCTACCTTGGAGACCATGGTTTGTAAACCTAATACTCCCGTGTTTGTTTGGTTATGAAATTACATCTTCATACACGAAATTATCGCGTCACAGAAACACGTGAAGCGTTAGTGATAGTTTTAGTCAAAATATCTGCGTGAAATTCACGTGAATATTACGAGGCTGACTTGAGATGAATCATGTTCTTCATTCACGTGAAATTTACGTCGAAGAGGAAGGATGTTACTGTAACCCGTGTTCAACCCAATAATTACGCAAATGTTACACAATAAATGAACCAAAATAATGACGTTCTCATCCCGTTTCTGAACATCGTGTCAGGGGCGGATCTAGCTTTTTGCTAAGGGGGGGGGGGGTTGACCAAAATAATGACGATGCAGAGCATCGTCCACGAGCCGCGTAGCGGCGAGCCGATTTTTTTTTGGGGTGTTTATTTGAACCCCGTAAGTGATGTTTTCCTGGCATCTATTAACACAATGGAGACCATAAAAAGCAGTGCATGATAACGTCTTTTTAAATCAAGTAACAGCTTAATACACAGTTATATCCAGCCTTTTTATCATGTGTTTGGTTAAGTTACCAGATGAGTTGAATATCTTCTCACAATATTTGCACTTGAAAGGGTTTCTCTCCAGCGTGCGTTCTTTTTTCTTTCTTTTTTTCTTTCTTTCTTTTTTTTTTTTTTTTTTTTTTGGGGCCGCCCAAGGGGGGGGGGGGTTTGAACCCCGTAAACCCCCCCCCCCGTAGATCCGCGCCTGCGTGTCTTGGATCTTCCATAATTACGTCCAGGCGCGCCGGAAGCAGTTTGGGATTAGAGGGGGTTGGGTGGGGGGGGGGGGGTGGGTGCAAACATCCCAGAAGAGAAAGCTAGTTGCAACTGGTCCAGTTGATGAACCATTTAATGCCAACTGGTAACCCTGGAAATTGAAATGGGCTAAATGATCCAGTTGATCCAGGCCAGTTATAATTCAACTGGTCTAGCTGAGCCATTAGAACCATTTGGTAAAACTTCCAACCAGTTGAACAGCAACAATACTTCAATACTGGTACGTCTGTATTTCCAATGTAAGGGCATTGGTAATAAGTAGACTTACATAATTGAATTAATCGAAACAATTTCGTATACTTGTACTTTATTGAAATTATTTTAGTTCACAGTTAATGTTTCCCTTATTCATGTTTAACTAAATGTAATTTATACGAAGTAGCAAAATGTCCTATTAACTGTAATTTATATTGGTAGTACTTTCGAAATGAATTGCAAATAACTAAATCATCAGTTATTAAGAAATATGCTGTAAATTCAGATAAATTGTTTAAAAAACATAGATCTGCACGCACCCCATATTCAATATGCAAATGAATTGGTGCCAGCTGGGTCAACTCGAAATATGCCAACGCTCAGTCATCAACTGGTGCAACTGGAAATTTGCACACTCCAGTTATCAACTGGTGCAATGAAAATATGCCAACAGTCAGTTATCAACTGGTGAACATAGAAATATGCCAACAGTCACGGGATTATCACGGAACTTAAATGGTAACTGTGAAACCATCAAGATACCCAAGAATAACTCATTTTCACACATGGAAAACACGGAATACCCAGCTTATATTAATAATCCGTTTGAGTCACGCGATCATCACCGCGGAACTGCTGGCAACTTTGACTACGATTTAAATAGGTGTTTTAAGACACCTAATCATGACTAATTTTCACACCTAAAAGTCACGTATGACCAGCTTAGATCAATAATCCGTTTGAGTCACGAGATCATCACCGCGGAACTTATGGCAACTTTGACTACCATTTAGAAAGGTGTTTTAAAACACTTAATAATTACACACACCTACATATCACGTTTTCACAGCTTAGATTAGTAATCAGCTTGAGCCACGTGATCATAACCGAGACATTTATGGTAACTTTGAAACCTTTTAAAGAGGTATGTAAGACACCTCAGAATTACTAGTTGAATATAACCAGAGATTCACGGACAGAACAATAAGACGATTAGCCGGTGTAAGTAACGTTATTATTACCATCAACTTTGGATAACCTGTGAAACCAATCAATAAAGGTGCTTACAAGACCAAATAATTACGTATTTATCGCCACCATCGGTTGACTGACAACACAACAATATCATTATGGGGTCATTGATAATTTCGATAATTGGGGATAATGATACATGGGCTACATCGCAATGAATTATGCGCTGCTTGCATTATCATACAGCAAAACGTTAAATGATGATTATTCTTCTGATTTATTATTTTGTTTAACTTTGCTCTTTAATCCGTGGACAGACAACTTCCGGTGGGGTTCTTGGTTTGATCACGTGATGGCTGCATGGAAGATTCGAGACGAGAAGAACGTTCTATTTCTCTTCTTTGAGGATGTGAAAAGGGTATGAAGGCTTAACATACACTTAACATTAATTAGATGAATCTTTGATGATGCTATTGATAAATGACAAAATATTGTGCTCGTTATCCAATAACGCCATTACTAATAGCATACAATGATACTGAACTGAGCGATATAACTCTGTATTACATTGTTCAGTTAAATAGGTTCTTAGGCTCCTTTATCTATTCATTTATAATCTGACTTTGTCCTTGATTTACGAATGCATGAAACTTAAAACAAACCACGGTGATTTAAACAAATATATATATGTGAGTAAAACTGACATTGTGTAACGTAAAATACAAATATGAAATTAAACCGACTTGATCTGAACTAAACTGAGCAATACAACACTAATTACACGCATAGTCATGGTTTTCACTTTCCTGGCGGGCATTGTAGCCAAACAACTCCTCCCCTCCTCCTCCCCTCCCCTCCATTTCCTAATACAGTACTCGCCTAATACGGTATACGGAGATGTGCCGCTCTATGAGTTACTTTTTTTGCAAAAAATCCCTAAATATGGGGTATGATTTTGTGCCGCAAAATCCCTTAAAATGACCCAACTTTTCAGATCTTGGCCTTAAATATGGGTTACTATTATCTTCAGGATAATATATCTCACCCATAATTTTGCTCAAGTGAAAATCCCAGATGCAAAATCCCGCAAAATAATTGAAATAATATCGCTTTTTCAACCCAAGTCCTCGCCAATGGTCGCACAGATGTATCAATATCATTGAGTTGAGCTCTGCTCCTGACTAATATTTTTAAACAGGTTATACCACACCCCTCCTCGAGCGTAAGCATTCTCCGAAAGCAGCAGAAAACTTGGTTTATACAGTGCGTCCCAGAAAAAACGAAACCGAGAAATACCGATGTTTTATCATAACATATTTGTAAAGCTTAGATCCTCCTCTTTCATTTGATGCAACTCAAATGATGCATATTTCACGCATCAGTGATTAAAAACAATTTGAAGAGAGAGTACCAAAAAGTCATTTGGTTGGTGATACTGTATCTGAATTTCCGAGAGGAAATCACATTTCTAGAAAATTCCCCTTTTCCCCCTTTCACATCTCAATCAAGAAAAACGAGACAGGAATAACAAAGTTTTTTTTTTTTCAAAGTGATGCTTGCATTTCCATAATTCGATTAAACGAATTCGTTTTCACTGGCTGCCTGCAGTAGCAACAAACAAAGTTAACGCGTCAACGAAACGGAGTTAATTCAGATGCAACCCCGCCATATGACTTTTTGGTACCTTCTCTTCAAATTGTTTTTAATCACTCATGCATGAAATATGCATCATATGAGTTAATATAGGTTTTCCCGGCCAATTTCGTCAAAGCAGCGATCAATTTCACTAACGTGCATTCATGTTCGAGCGAATTTTCTCCACTCGTTGCTCCCCTGTTTCATTTTAAAACTTTTTGCATTCAATTTCGTTTCGAGTCATCGAATTTTCTAAACATGCACATTCAAATTAAAGCTTGGTTCAGTCAAATTGGAAATGCGTAAGCGTCATTCAATTTCGCCAATGTTGAGTGGAAGGAGAATTCTTTGGCGAATTGCGGTTTCATTTTCGTCTATGGGCAACCTCTTTCGCAATCGGGTCATTCAAATTAAAACTAGACCTCATAATCATTGTATGAGGCTCGATTTTTATTCGGATATTCACTTTTTCATGTTCATTTTTTTCCTTCTATGATCTTTTCTGAAATGATTTCACATTATACTACAATCTTCTTATTTGTCCGATATATTTATATTGCATTTAATGTTTTCTCTTTCTTTTGATCTTTATTTTTGTTGAAACATTTCTTTATACATGTTATTTTTGTAATGGTTTGTGTTGATTAATCTTGATTGAGTAGGTGATCTTTCATTCTTTTCATTTTACGTCTTTTTCTTTATTCAACATTTTATTTTGATTCCATCATGTCCATGTCTAAATTTCAACTCTACCGCTGTCCAGGATCTGTGTATATATAGCCTGTGCTTAGAAGAGTAGTAAAAAATTGTGCACCTTCTCTGGGAACAGTTACCTGTGTAATGACAGATATCTGCTAACAAATACGCAGGTCATTCCTAAAAGTAAACTTATAGCATTAAATTATTCAAACAGATTGAAGTATATTAAGTGACAAATTGACATCAAATGAAAAGCAATGCACAAATGTCACATATTAATTATTATGGATGCCTAATCACGTAATTGAATGCTTGAATACATACCACCGTCTGTCCGGCGCGAATTTGAATGCTCTTTGCACGCTTTTCTAAATTGAATGCTCGTTTTGCACGTTTCCGTGACAAGAGTATGAAATCGCATGCTACTAAATCAAATTGAATGGGGCAATTAGCTTTTTGAATGTTGATCTACATAGTCATTCAATTTCGCACGAATTTGAACGAACGTAACGTTAATTCGGATGCTAAGTTTACGAAGTTGGGCGGAAAAACCTATAATAATAATAAATAATAATAATAATAATAATAATAATAATAATAGTGGGTTCTTGTATAGCGCTCATGTCTGTCAGACTTGAAACTCGCTCTCGAGTATTACCCTGGCTTTAGCACGTACGGCTACCATTACGGCGCTCTAGCATTTCAAAGGATTAATTCCTACCAGGTACCCATTTACATCAACTGGGTTGAGTGTGGCAAATGTAGATCAATGTTTTGCCAAAGGATATTAGTGCCGCGGTGAACCGTGGACCTTGTGATCCACAGTCCGGTGACATATCCACTTATCCAATTAAAGAAATGGATCTAAGCTTTACAAATATGTGTCATTTATTAATTATAACTGTGATTAAGTTACGATAAAACATCGATAATTTTCGGTTTCGTTTTTTCTGGGACGCACTGTATAGGGATGCGCCATTAGATATCCAGGGGGAGTAGAAAGAGGTTTACAAGTCATTTTCTGACAATTTTTTTTTTTTTAAACGGGTCTTGATTTAACCCTAACCCTAATTCTAACCCTAAACTTTCCCAAAGGCTCAACCCGCACCTAACCCCAATCTGTGCCGCCGAAAAAATAACGCCCCCCGGGCTCCCCCCTCCTACTTCTTCTTCTATACTTCCCCCTTCTTTCAAGATTCTTCACCCTTGTTTTACACACATTCAGGATCCAAAGAAATGTATCCAGCAAGTCGCCGAATTTCTAGGGCGCCCTCTCTCAGAGGAGGCTCAACAGCGAATATTGGAAAAGAGCTCATTTAAAGGAATGGCACAAACCTACAAAAAGCTTGCAGACGATGCTGCAGAAAGCGGGAAGGCGGACCCAACGCGTATTGATGGGAAAAGGAGCTTCATGAAGAAAGGTACATTGATAATTTTTGCAACTGCATATGAAACTTTAAGGGTATACATAACAAAATCTTTCGTTGAGTCATAGTTAGTTATCAAGAAAGATTCTCTCGAAAAACGTCATAAATTAGATAAATCATATTGAGGACAATATACATGCAATCCATCACTTCCGGAAATCAATCTATCTGATCAATTTATTGTTAGCAGTGTCATCTACCAGGCACGCTGGAAGCAGTTTGGGATGGGGGGGGGGGGGTTAATATTCCAGGGGGTCAACTTTCAGGAGGCAGTGGCGTAATGGCGCAAAACGTTTGGAAGGGGGGGGGGGGAGAAGAAAAATTTGGATCACCACCACTCTTACACTTTACATGCAGGCTCCGCGGAACGTTTTTTGGAAGTGGAGTATTAACGATCAGATAGAGTGTAGCGAGCGAAGCGAGTGGGGCATACATTGTAGTGGGGTCCAGGGGTTCAAGAAGGCGGAACCCCCGGAAGCTCAGGGGTTTTAGGCATGAAATTACAGTCAGATAAGCATATTAAGATACCTTATTTGTGACACTGGCAGGTCAATAATTGGCGTGGGGTCCAGGGTGATGAGCCAACTTCCGGCGCCCATGTCTACTCAACTGGGTAACGATATACGTATATTTTAAAACTGCTCTCTCATCTATACCTATGGCATTATGGCATCTCTCTGTAATTTCCACCATGGTTATCTTCTTATTGCTATGTCGGGTAAACATCAGCAAATCTATTTCTTTAAACATGAGATTAAAATATAATATCCCATTAAATACTACTCCCGAGAAACTCTGAACCAAATCCATTTTGGATGACATTCCCGTTTGTAATATATTCCTCTCAGGCTGTCACACCCTAAACAGACATCACACCTACCCCAAGCCGATCAATCGTTGGCTAATTTATAGTTTTATTTCGTCATGTTGTCGGTCTGGTGTTGGTTTCGTTCGCCGGTGACTAGGGTAGGCCAATAATATATTAAATTGGTCTTTTGTAACATAACCATACTCTTTGTTTGATTTCTGTTCTAGGTTCGAGTGGCCAGTGGAAGAATCGTTTTACGGTGGCTGAGAACGAGGCTTTTGACAGATGGTATCAACAAAAGAGAGAGGGAACAGATCTTGATTTCAGCTTCGAATGATAGAGAAAGTTTTAGACCTTCAACTTTATAATCAGTTCCTTTCTTCGGGTGAAAATAAAGTCTAAATGTAATTATCAATGCAAAATATGTGCAATTCGAAACCCTTTCACACTTAAAGGGCCCCTGCCATCCAAATACAAGTTTATTCCCGTTGGTGTGTAGTCCTGCATACATCTCATATTTTGATATGTAAACTTTTTAATGTGTTTTAAAGATTTTGAAATATTTTTTTCTTCAAACTTGCTAAGCTCCACCCTTTAAATCCTCCAGATCTCATTCCCCTAGTGACATCATCTATCTGAGCTGGGGGAATACTATTGTCTATTGTAGAATATTAGTTTAGCCAACTTTTTAGTCTGACATGTCTGACATAGCAACTTGTATGTTGCTATTGTTTGTTGTATTGTAACAGGTGGTTAACTTTGGCAAAGTTACATGACACTTTCTCAAATTAGCTCATTGATGACTGACAGAGGAGGTCACAAGTTTACATATCAAAATACATGTACGAGATGCATACAGGACCAGGGGCGGATCTACGGGGAGGGGGCAGGGGTTTAACCCCCCCCCCCTTGGGCTGCCAAGTGAAAATGTGATGTGCGTAGGAAAACGCCATTATGTGCCCAGACCAACACAGTAGTAGTATAATGTAAGTAGATGTCAGGAAAACGGCTCGTGGATTATTAATCGTCCAAAAAAATTCGGCGATATCGCGATCTAGAAACTTGACATTTAAAAAAAAATTATTATTATTATTTTATTTCATTTTTAGGCTTAGTCATTGTTTTGTGTTTTAACTTAGGGAGGGTGTTATTACGATAAGATTTAATCATTCAAAATAATTGAGTTGTGTATATTGTGTACTCTATATGTTATGTATTGACATTTGAAATAAGTTGTATGATGTACATGTATCAAATGAATATAACAAAGAATACTACGAACATACGAAAAATAACACGTAGGGACGGCGAGGCGAATACATCTATTTTCGGTTGGAAAAAATGTATATCCGATAAGTACGTGCCCCTGTGCACCTCTGATAAGTGCCCCTTTTATTTTGATACGTGTCCCTTTTTCTTCTTAAAATGTGCCCTTTTCCATTCTGATACATGCCCCTCCTTCTTTCTCATAAATGCCCCTTTTGCATCCCCAATAATTTCCACTTATACAAATCTGATAGGTGCCCTTTTTCCTTCAAAAATGCCCCTTTTTCTTCATAATAAGTGCCCCTTTTCCATTCTTCTAAGTGCTTGTTTTAATCTCTGGCGAGTGCCTCTTTTCAGGTGCGAGAAATTCCCCTTTCACCTCTGATATTTTTGCCCTTTTTTTTTCTTTGACTCGTGCCCCTTTTCCTGTTTAACCAGTGTCATTTTCCCTTTGTAATATGTGGTACCTAGCAAAATGTAAGAATATTAGAGGTTTAAAATGTCAGATGTCAAAAAGTAAATAATTACAGTTTTACCTTTGACATTTGTATCTCTGAGATATTAGCCTATAGTGTTTGTACCTAAGGTGTTGTTCCTCTGGAGTCTGTACCATTGGCGTTTGTACATCTGGCATATTTACCTCTGACGTTTTACCCCTGACCATTTTACACTAAACCCAAAATATTGGGGGTCTCGAGCTCAAGCCCCCCCCCCCCCTGTCTCCACCCCAAATCAAAAATTGACTTCGAATAAAGGGAACGAATTTCCGTCTTAAAAAGATTAATATGAATTGTGTAAAGATAAATGATTGGCAATATGCAAATTGCCTAAATCAAATTATTAGATTGTAGAATAATGTTTTAAAATGTGGTACTTAGTAAAAATGTAACTTATTTATGCTACGGTCACAAATGTTCGTACGAACGATTTGTTCGTACGAATCTCCCTGTTCCTACGAATTTCAGAGTTCGTAGAGATTCGCAGATGGGGCATAGTTTCTTACGTCCTCCTTACGGAGTTCGTACGAATGCCGTTTAATTCGCAAGAACAACTCAAGACCTTCTTGAGAAACGAAGTGATTTTCGGTTATACAATGGCCCCAGAGTTCGTACGTTTTTCGTAAGAACACCTTGTGTTCTTCTTACGTCAGACTTACGCCAATCTTACGAGTTTTTGTTCTCGCAAGGTGGTAGTACGTTTAACTCACGGCATTCACAAGTCATTCGTAAGAAGATCTTACGAATGTTTTTCCTATTTGGTCGGGTTGCAAAAAAAACGCTGCCGTATACTGTCGAAAATTATATGACTGTTAAAAGTTTGATACTACACGATGACACTATTGCCAAGAAGACTACAACTGCAACTGCAACTCCATAAAATGTTTCTTGAACTTGCTGTTAGCATATCTGTTACTTCCTTTATTATAAAAGCAGTCATGTTAACCGAAGAAGTCAACAAGTTTTTGCTCTGTGGTGGCATCAAAGTCATAGGACTGCTTCTCCTTTCTTAGTTTCCCCGTTACCTCATCTTCATCGCCGTCAAACTGCCGTCTTGATGTTTCTCCCTCCTCCTTGTCGTCGTCATCTTCCACCGCCTCCCGGTCGCTTCCGATATGGCCATCATTTCTTGATATCAGGCGCTCCGAAAGCAGTTTGGGATTGGGGTGGCAAAAATTCCAGGGGGCTTACCTTCTAGGGGCAGTGGCGTAATGAGCAAAATCGTTTGGAGGAGGGGGTGGGGGCAGAAGGAAAATTTGCATCACCACCACTCCTAGGCCTACATGTTACATGCAGGCCCCACGAAACATTTTTCAAAGTGGAGTATTAACGATCAGGTTAGAGTGTAGCGAGCGTAGCGTAAATTGGCGTGTGGTCCGGGGGCTTTGCACCGGCGGGGGTCAAGGGACTAAGCCCCCGGAAGCTCACGGTTTTTAAAAATTGGGGTCAGATAAGCATATTTAGATACCTTATTTGTGTTACTGGCAGGTCACTAATTGTCGGGGGTTCCAGGGAGCAGAGCCCACGGAAGCTCAGGGGTTTTAGGTATTCAATTACGGTCAGATGAGCATCCAGGGGCCCACCTTAGGGCCCTTGGTGAGGTCCAGGGGGCAGAGCCCCTGGAAGCTCAAAGGTTTTGGGTATTAAATTACGGTCAGATGAGCATCCAGGGGGCTGTCTTAGAGCCCTTGTTGGGGACCAGGGGGCAGAGCCCCTGGAAGATCAAAGGTTTTCGGCATCTAATTACGGTCAGGTGAGCATATTTTGATATCTCATTTGTGACATTGGTAGGTCACACATTTTGTTCTCTCTCTTTCTTTTCTTCCCTCTTTTTTTAAAAAAAGTGAGGGGGGCTCGAGCCCCGAGCCCCGCCGTTTTGCAGGCCCTGACATAAAGGCTTCTAAATAAGCATATTTTTATGCCCAGCTGTTAATTTAGGAATGAGTAATTTTCAAACAAACGCATAAAAAGATATGGTTTGCAAAACAAACAAAAAACAAAAAAATACCGGAAATTATGTCATTTCAGCAACGTTTGTAAATCACTGGTATCGAATTAGAAATACCCCCGCCCATTAGTACGCCAGTGTTCAGGGGCTCATGTCTTCTCACCACTATAATAAAAAAAAAACACACACTTTCCCGTCCTCTTACAATATTTCCACGATATGCGCAAATCGCATATATTATAAAAACCTGCATTGATGAAATGTAGGAGCAAGCGGAATGTATACGAAATTTAATCCCTATTAACTTTTCTTTTCTTTGAATGGAATATAATTCATATGTGATTCAATTCAGGTTTTGTTCTTTTTGGTTAAAAAATACAAATCATCTTTATTCCTTTACTGCTTTTTTTATAGGGGGTTGGAGGGGGCGAATGCCCCCTGCCCCTCCCCCCCCCACTTCCGGCGCCTCTGCTTGATATTGTTGTTGCTGCTCTCCTCCTCTTTCTCCTTCCCCCTCATCTCTTTCCTTACGTTTGTTTCCCTTCCCTCTCTTCCCTCTAACAGATTTCCCCTTTGGTCCCATATTTCTTCGACAGGAGATGCACCCTCGTCGAACACTATGAACAGAGTGAGGCTTTATAACCGTTAAAACTCAAAATTTGCATAAATTGTGTACGTACACCTTACGAGCACCTTACGAACTTCTTACGAACGCCAGGAGTCATTCGTACGAAGACATTAAGAATCTCCGCTCGTAAGGCGTTCTTACGAACGCCTTAGGAGCCCTCTATGAACAACTTGAGGCGTTCTTACGGTCATCGTAATAAATTGAAGCTTCTAGAATTGTCCCTCGACCCTACGAAATGTACGTAGATCTTGCGTGGTTCTTACGATGTAATTACGGCGTTCGTACGGCCGCCTTACGAAGAGAGGGTTTCGTACGATGTTAAAAAAAATCTTGGACAAGACCATCGACCAATCTGCGTTCTTACGAACGGTCTACGAACGGTTTACGAGCGCTTGTTTCGTACGGCCTTCTTAAGAACATCTTACGAAATTGTCTGAAAATCGTTCGTACGGCGTTCGTAGCAGCCCGTAAGGGTATTTGTGACCAAGGCATAGGAATATCACAGGTTCACAAGTCAGATGTTAAAAGTAAAAATGATTTTTTACCTTTGGCATTTTTATATATGATGTATTTGCCTATGTCGTTTGTATCTCTTGTGTCTGTACCATTTGCGTTTATACCTCTGGCCAGGGGCGTACGCAGGATTTTTTCAAGGGGGGGGGTTTTAAAATCGGGCCCAAAATATTTTGCTCCCGAAAAATTTAAAATCGCGCCGGCCGAAAAGTCGCTCAAGGGGGGGGGGGGGGGGGGGGGGGTAAGCGGACACTTTTTTTTTTTTTTGGTCTCGAAATTTGAAAATTTGACATTTTTCTTCGTTGGGGGGGGGGGGGGGGGGTAAGGTCACCTCTTTTAGGTTAGCCGTGGGCATATTTTTTTTTTTTTAATAATTTAAAAAAAAAAAAAAAAAAAATCCAAAGGGGGGGGGGGGGGTTTAGGTTTTTTTGGTGGTGTTTACACACATAAAAATACAAAAGGGGGGGTTTGAACCCCCAAGCCCCCCCCCCTGCGTACGCCCCTGCCTCTGGCATATTTACCTCTGACATTTTACCAGTCTGAAAAGAATCGCTAGGAACATGTAAAAAATGAATGCAAGAACCCCACCAAGCCCCCCCCCCCTCCCCCCCCCCCCCCACACACACCTAAGTCCTACTTCCCCCACAACAAAAAATATGCTAGAACCTGCTCTGGAATGCTGTATTTAGTTTCTTTATTTAGTTCGAAAATAAATATTCTCCCTTTTTCATCAAAGCGTAGGTAGACATGTATATAATTTCCCTTCGCATGTAGGAGGAGTAACGGAACCAAACAGAATGTTCATCACGTTCAAACGTATATGAAATAAGATTTGAGACGTTACATTCGCTCACTTCGAGACATCACCCGTAGACATCACAGACTTCTTA